TAGAAATTCAGAATGAGTTACCAAAGGAACTGAAAGATTAAAAAATGCAAGCTATTTCCTAGACTTTATCAGATTATGCCTAAGTGCCCTGCATCCAATCCTTCATATGAATTGTAAAGTTTTGCTTGGTGTGGACTGCACTCTCAGCAAGTTTGCAGATGACATTAATCTGGGAGGCATGGTAGATACACTGGAAGGTAGGAATCAGATACAGAGGGACCTAGACAAATTAGAGGATTGGGCCAAAAAAAAAAAACCTGATGAGGTTCAACAAGGACAAGTGCAGAGTCCTGCACTTAGGATGGAAGAATCCTATGCACTGCTACAGACTAGGGACCGAATGGCTAGGTAGCAGTTCTGCAGAAAAGGACCTACGGGTCACAGTGGACGAGAAGCTGGGTATGAGTCAACAGTGTGCTCTTGTTGCCAAGAAGGCTAACGGCCTTTTGGGCTGTATAAGTAGGGGCATTGCCAGAAGATCGAGGGATGTGATCGTTCCCTTTTATTCGACATTGGTGAGGCCTCATCTGGAGTATTGTGCCCAGTTTTGGGCCCCACACTACAAGAAGGATGTGGAAAAATTGGAATGAGTCCAGCGGAGGGCAACAAAAATGATTAGGGGTCTGGAGCACATGACTTATGAGGAGAGGCTGAGGGAACTGGGATTGTTTAGTCTCCAGAAGAGAAGAATGAAGAGGGATTTGATAGCTGCTTTCAACTACCTGAAGGGGGTTCCAAAGAGGATGGAGCTCGGCTGTTCTCAGTGGTGGCAGATGACAGAACAAGGAGTAATGGTCTCAGGTTGCAGTGGGGGAGGTCTAGGTTGGATATTAGGAAACACTATTTCACTAGAAGGGTGCTGAAGCACTGGAATGCGTTATCTAGGGAGGTGGTGGAATCTCCTTCCTTGGAGGTTTTTAAGGACCGGTTTGACAAAGCCCTGGCTGGGATGATTTAGTTGGGAATTGGTCCTGGTTTGAGCAGGGGGTTGGACTAGATGACCTCCTGAGGTCCCTTCCAACCCTGATATTCTATGATTCTATGATTCTAAGTGAAAAACTCTCCTTGTGGATCATCATATCGGGAGAGCTAGTTGTCTTTCTGTGTTCATACACACAGCACTCTCTCTCAGAGTCATGAAGAAATGCATAGCTCTATAATTATTCTCCTTCTTTGTACTACTCTGACTGGGTACAGAAGGCACTTACAGATGTAACCAGAAAACACCACCCCTAAGTGTTTGATTCCATCCAATCCCATTGCATTGTGAATGGGACCATTGACATGGCACTGGATGGCACCTTCAGCATGTTTGCTTTTCTCCTGCTTTGCCTTCTTTCCTCCACAGCAACGGAGAACCAGACAGTGGTGAGCGAGTTCGTCCTCCTGGGCCTGACCCATCTCCTGGTGTTACAGCGCCCTCTCTTCATTGTCTTCGCCCTGCTCTACGTGACCAGCCTGTTGGGTAACATTGCCATCATAGCTGTGATGCTGGCTGAGCCCCGGCTCCACACCCCCAGGTACTTCTTCCTGGGAAACCTTGCCTGCCTGGACATCTTCTACAGTACGGTCACCGTGCCCAAGATGCTGGCCGGCTTCCTCTCGGGGCACCAGACCATCTTGTTTCCTGGCTGCCTGGCCCAGCTCCACTTTTTCCACTTCCTGGGCAGCAGTGAGGCTGTACTGCTGGCCGTCATGGCCTATGACCGCTACAGGGCCATTTGCAACCAGCTGTGCTACAGGCTGGTCATGAGGCCACAGGCCTGTCTGTTCCTGGCAGCGGCCACTTGGGCCACTGGCTTCCTACATGCGCTGATGCACACGGTCATGACATCTCAGGTGCATTTCTGTGGCCCCAATGAAATCCACCACTTTTTTTGTGATATCAAGCCCCTGCTGAGCCTGGCCTGTAGCAGCATCCACCTCAACTTGACACTGCTCAGCTTCGTCACCGGGAGCATCACGCTGTGTTCGTTCATCCTCACGCTTCTCTCCTACCTCTACATCATCTCCTTCCTCCTCCTGAAGGTCTGCTCACAGGAATGCAGGAGAAAGGCCTTTTCCACCTGTGCCTCCCACCTCGCCGTGGTGTCTCTATTCTATATGCCAGTCCTTGGTAATTACCTGATTGCCTCTTCAGGTTCCCCCTCTGAAAGAGACATGATATCCACCCTCATGTACAGCATCGTCACCCGAGCTCTGAACCCCCGATCTACACCTTGAGAAATGAGGAGGTAAAATCTGCCCTGAATAAATTCCTGAACAGAACACTTTTCCCTTAAAGAATATGAATTAAATGAAGGCACACACTGTTCAATTATAATTAAAGCATTTTAGTCTTTGTTGAGACCACTGATTTTTAAAAACCCTTTGCATTTTTTTTTCATTTCCCCCACTTTCTGGTGTCACTACAGTGCAGAATTTAGGTTGTTTGGCTAGCATAACATCATTTCTCATAAGATGTTTGGATTTTCTTTAATGGTGAATATCCTGTGGGTATTTGGGGAAAATTTCAACATCCTTGTAATATATTTATCCCTAAATTATTGACATGAACTCCATCTTAATGTCTGCTGATGGAGACATTTTCCGTTAGAAACATGATGGGTGGAAGGAAGGGGGACTGACCATTATTTACATAAAATAAAAAACAATATTCAAATATTACCTATGCATAATTTTTCAGTGTGTTTTGACTCTATGGGAAGTTACATAACTCTGTGACAGGACAGAGTTAGGTTAGTTGGGTGCCCTATTTATGTAATTCTAGAAATTAGCCTATCTGGATTTCTTGAACATTAATTTGGAAATTCTTGGGTTTCAATGCTTATTTTCTGTATAACTAAAATAGTCATCAGACCTAGGTGATAAGTAGCAGCAAACAGAGATTTGTCATGAACAAATCATCTCAAACCAATCTAATTTCCTTCTTTGACAGAGTTACTGGCCTAATGGATATGGGGGAATCAGTAAATGTGACATATCTTGATGTTATTAAATCTCTTGAAACAATCTCATAATCAACTAGGGAAATGGAGTCTAGATGAAATTACTGTGTGCATAAGTGGCTGACTGGGAGGACATATTCACTGGAGTCTGTCCTTGGGATTGGTACCATTCAATATTTCCATTAATGATTTGGATGAAGATATGGTTATAAAATTTACAGCTGGAAGGGACTGCAACACTTTGCAAAAGAGGATTGGAATTCAAAATGATGTTGATAAATGGGATAATGGGTCTGAAATCAGGAAGATGAAATGCAATAAAGAAAAGTACAAAGTGCTACACTTAGGAAGGAAAAATTACAAGCAGAAATACAGAATGGGGAATAGAAGGCTAGGCAGCAGTATTGCAGAAAATAATATCCAAGTTATAATGCATCACAAATGGAATAAGAGTCAACAGTGTGATGCTGCGGACAAAAAAAAAAAAAGCAAATCTCATGGTACAAAGTCATGTAAGACACAGGAGAGTCTTGTTCCACTCTACGCAGCACTGGTGAGACCTCAGCTGTAGTATTGCATCCATTGCTGCTCTTTAAGAAAGATGTGATCAAATTTAAGAAAATCTAGAAGAGAGCAACAAAAATGGCAAGAAGTTTGGAAAACATGACTGCTGAGGAAAGGTTGAAAGAGCTGAGAATGTTTAGTCTGGAGAAGAGATGGCTGAAGGGAGGTTGTGTTCACAGTGTTTAAATATGTAAATGTTTGTTATAAAGAGGACAGTGTTAAATTGTTCACCACGTCCACTGAAGGTAAGATGAGAAGAAATTGGCTTAGTTTGGAGGAAAGGAGATTTAGGTGAGATATTAGGAGGAAAAAACTAAGGCTAATTAAGCTCTGGAAGAGGCACCAAGGGAGGTTTTGGAATCCCCAGCTTTGGATGTTTCTAAAAACAGGTTAGACAAACACCTTATCAGGGATAATCTAGGTAGACTTAATCCTGCCCCAGTATGGTGGGGGAAGGGGCATTTCTCAAAAAATGTTGATTTTTTTTTTCAGCTGGATACACCTGCATCAGGAATCAAATCTAGGAAGTCCGGATAGTAAATTGTAAGCTTCTATTGCCTGGGCTAAACGACAGAGTTCTATTGAGCAAGGCCATCACAACACATCAGCCTCTCCAAAAAACCTAGCCTCCACTAGAGAGGGACAGAGCACCCCATCAAGTGAGCTGAGGAGGCATTAGGTGCGTAACTCACTTAGGTGATTGTGTAAATTCTACCAGGTGCTTATCTGCAGCCTTAGGTGACTAAATACAATTGGAAATATGCTCTAACCCCTGAGCTCTGGAGTCAGATTATGTCTTCCTCAGTTCTATTCAGATGCTTATACCTCAATTATGGTATCAGTTGATCTCAGTATATTTGTCTGGGATTTGCAAAGAGGCCTGTGCATCCAACTCACACTGAAAGCCATTCATTTTAATGAAAATTGGCCATTAATATTGTGACGGGTTGGATCACAGAAGCCCCCTTGGGGCTGCCAACTGATGTGCCAAGACTACTTCTGCCCCTGCTTTCCCTGCCAGCTTGGGACTCCAGAGCCCTGCCTGGCTGTGCCAGACACGCTTGATGGCCACAAACACAGACCCAGGTCTGAA